GCATGATTTTGTAGAGAAGACATTTAATTCATACACGTGTATGTGTATGTGTATATTAATGTGCAACAAAAACAAACATTTGCTATATTGAATTCTTGTACATTTCTGTAAGCTAGCTTTGGACAAGGTAAAAAAGAAGCTGTGAGACTACATAAATGTTTGTGAGCAATGAAATTATGTTTTAAAAAAATACACTGATATTCTCTGTTCATAATTTATTTATATTTAACTAAATAATTCTAAACTAGTCATGAAAGCTGCTTTCAGGCTAAGTGGAAAGAAAGCAACAGGTGATGAGCCTAAGTCTCACAAAAATAGAAGATTCGTACTTGCTATTAATAAACATTTCAAAATATATCAGTTTTGCCAAGTATTATAACTACTGTCCAAATCAGTCTTCTGGTAGTCGTCTTGTCTTAGGGCTGCCACTTTTGCTGAATGCAAACGTAAGCTTGGGGAGGAAAAATCTATGATCAGTCTAATGCTCTGCGCCATACATCACCTGAGTCACTCTCAAATCCTGTCTGTCTCTTCTTACAATGACACAATTTATTAAATGCCAATGTTTGCTTTGAGGATGTATCCTCTATGTCTTACTGTGTTTAGGTAAATGGAAAATAGTGTTGGTGATGAGGTCATGAGTCATACAAGTCTTCAGCAATAACTGGCTGTTGCTGTTGCTTTTTCCAACTCCATTCCTCCCTCCCTGCCATGTCTGACAGTCTATCCAGACTGTCCAGAGTTTTTGGAAAATACGGCAACTCAAAAGGACAAGTTTGGGGGACCCCTTAACACTCCTCTGGCATTAAAATCCCTCAATTACAAGCCTATCATCTTTTGGCACATTGATGATGAGTCTCCATATCTTTATAAAAATTTTCTTTGACCTCCTCAAGGTTTGTCATGATGGGAGCATACACGCTGATGATGGTGGCGTGGTGCTTTCCTACAAATGGCAATTGCATTATCACGGGCCTGTCCTTTACTCCTTTTGGGAGGCCTACAAGCTTGCTGACTAGATCAGTTCTGACTGTGAAACCCATACCAGTTTCATGGCACTCCCCCATCACTGAAGCCCCTCAAGAGAAACATGTTTGACTTTCAGTAAGGGGGCCTTCATTTGTCAGCCTTATTTCACTCAGGACTGCTATCTGGATGAAATATTTGCTGAGTTCTCTCACAACAGAAGCTGTTCATCTTTCAGGTCTACTGGATTTCCACATTCCACATGCCAATGATTAGTGGAATCATCTTCGCAAAATTTTTTGTATATGTTTTTGTGTTTCAACATAGGGTGGGATCCCCAACTACTGCAGTAAGCATGCCTGGGTTAGGTGAAGCAGACAACTTTTAGGGCACCTTTTCTAACCCCTTCCTCACACCAGAAGGTAAGCAGTATAGTTTTTAAGAAGGCTGCTCAAATACCCAGGGGGCTGCCAAATCCCACTGCTGTTTCAGTCCAGTGAGAAGACAATTCTATGGCCTGGGCCACCTGTGAGTAGGGTTATAAATATAGCTCCTAGTGTATAAGCACCAGCTACTTCATCATTTTCCTGTCACCACAAGACACTGAGATAGGTAAAAATGGTAAAATGGTATGAGTGATGTCTTTTGACTCATGCATAAAATTGGATTTAAGTGAAGTGGAGTTACTCAAAGTCATCAACATCACCCTGTCTTCCAGAGTCATCAAAGTCCAGTGGCAAGACAAAAGTCAAGATGGATGGTGATGGCTCAGGATGGAGTGGATGACCATGGTGTCTTCAATGTCCAACCAAGCTCTAAACATTCCACAGCACCTTCTTCTGCTACCTTCTTGGTCCCTGAAATAAATCATTCTTATCCGCCCATTCTGCTGGAGGAGGTCTTCACATGCTTGGGATAGACACCCCCTTAATTCACTGACAGTTTCGAGGCCCATCAATTTCCCTCAACCTGATTTAGCCCATCTGCTAAAATGGTTTACCAGGGTATGGCTCACTGTGCATGCTACAGTTTCTTGGAGCCACAGGTGAGAGTTAGATGATTGAGTGGACACCAAAGATGGAAAGCACCCCTGAAAAGGATTCGGAAGCCCTCACACCAGAGGTCCTAGTCTTCCCTGAATACTTGTACACCCCTGCCCAATGTCACAGAGGGAATGAAAGAGGGGAAGATTAGAATTCAGGTTTTTTTCCACTGTACCATACTACCTTTCCTTTTCCTCTGAAGCACTATAAAGAAAGATCATAGGTACCATTCTTTGGTGTAGCCTAAAACCATAGGCATCATTTTGAATTTTATGTCTACGTTCAATAAAAGTTTTGACCTCTTAGTAAGCTAGAAATGGAAATTAGTGAGTAGGACTCTCAAAAACTGTCAGTGTGGGAAGGATTAGTAAGACACAAGGCAGAGAAAAGAGAAGGGGAAATGTTCTTCAAGGAAAGCTTTAACTTTCCCTTTAAAAAAATGGGAAAAGAAATATTCGTGTGGGGGAGGGGGCACTGTTACATAAGTAAAAATCATACTATTATCTTCTATTGCAGAGTTCCAGCCATCCAAAAAAATTAGAAAAAACCTGGGTACATCATTTTTGTACACCTGAAGATGTGCCCATGCTCCCATACCATATTCTACTGATCCACCAGAATATATTCCATCTCCTCCTATATACCCAAATACTCCACTTAGTTTTTTTCTACATGGCCTTCATATGTCTGATGCAACCAAGGTCTCTTTCTCTAAAATTTACTATCTATATTTCTTCATGTTTAAATTTTATAAGGACAAAAAAGTGCAGTCTCAATAGCAATTATAAACAAATTAAACAACCTTAAACCAATATTCAAGACACATTAAAACTAGGAGAAATAATTGTAAAATACAATGTGGTAAGAATATAGGAAAATGGGTACACATTGCTGGTGTAAAAAAGTTCCAACTTTTCTGGAGAGTAAAATAGCAACATATAACAAAAGTTACATCTGTTTAAACATCACCTTGATTGCACAGGACAAAGGAGAATATACTCTACAAGAAAATTACACAAATAGTATGTATACAGTGACTGCTACTCATATACAGACTGGATTAGAAGACTTTGGGGTCCCTTAATACTCAGAAATTCCAAGATTCTCTGATTACAACTATGTAAAAATAATAATGCTACATTCCTAATACTGGGGGGTAAATCCAGAATGATATGATTTAATATAAAGCTTAAAACTTCATAATTAAACATTGTCTCTTTTAATTCTGGGTAAGTTCTTGCCTTCTTTAATAAGTCTTTCCCAGCAACAAATCTTTAATCTGACCACCCCTAAGACTCATCCAATGACAAGAATTCTACTGAACTGTTTGCAAGCATTCTTTTTTAGAAAAAGGTGCAAGGCTGTCAGGCTGCTCAGCAGGCTACACACTCTCAAGACTTTACAAAGGATACCCCACCTAACGTTAATAACTGGTTCCCCACAACACACACCAGGCAAAGTGACATTACAGGCCTGACTCCTTATAATATTGGAACAATGTTACAAAGGGTAGTTAGCCAAATGATGACACAGCACTGTTTCATGGCCTCTTGCTAAGATTTGTTAATGATGTTACTCTCAAATAAATAGTGCCAGAAAAACACTTTGCAGAATTTGCCTTCACAGTAAAACCCAATTAGTTCATACTTCAGTAATTTAGAATTTATAATTATTTCAACAGGAGCTCAGCTGAAATTTAGCAGTGTTTGGCAAATTCCTTTTATTACAAATTCTACTTGGCATCTGAGACTCAAAACTAAAAAGTCAAAATTGGGAATTCATGACCTACAGAACCTAGACTTCACAAAATTAGTTGGGAATTTGAAATTCATTCAAAGGATATCCAGTATTCCCTTTTCTAGATGAAATGGAGAGTGGAACAGATTTTTTTAAAAAGAATGTAATCTAATCCTAAAAAAAAATTAAGTTTTCTCCAACCACTGAAAACATAAGGCAAAAACATAAAAAAATTCAGATATTAATTAATAAAAATGATAGACATTTAAGCCATAAACACAAAAACTGTAGATAGGACATGCTTTCAAATCTGTTTCATATCAAAAGCAAGGAAAAATAAAAATCTTAATAATGCAAGCTAATAATGAAAACAAATGAGATGGGGAGCTGTTTTGGTAATCAAGGGAATGTTTAAAATACCTTTTTAAAAAAAAAGTATTTAGTTGTAAAATTCTATTGTTTAATTTCCAAAGTACCCTAATGTCCTTTATAAATATCCCCTTATAATTAGTTTGCTCATTACAAATCATTTATGTCTACTCATTAAAGAAGAAACACTGCAGACCTCTGTCTACATTTTGTTAGTTTACACACATATCAACATAATATATTTTAAATAAATACACTTTTCATTTAGTCCTTTCACTAAGTCAGAATAGCATTTGCTTGAACTAAGCCAAATTACTTAATATTGTTTGGCTCCATGCACCTCAGCAATGGGCCCTGGTCTACAGGAACTTTTTATTCTGAAGAGGAAGAGAGAACAGAGAGAACAGGGAAGGAAAGTGGATCTGTAACCTGATCCAATGAGCTTATAGAATTCCTAGCACCTCTACTATTTCCATTACAGGCTAAAAAGAGAAAACAGAAAACTGTATTTACAGAGCTACATCTCTGATAAAAGCTTTAGAGGCAGGAAAAAGTTAAAATGCATTTTAATTACTTTGCTTTTATTCATAACATCCTACTCCCCAAATAGAACTAACAACCAATTCTTAGCTACAATGACTTCCAGTAGCTTTTAAGCTACCATAGGATTTAGAGGTAAGAGAGAACTTAGAGAACAGCAATTTGTACAACACAGTGCCAAACTAGTGAGTCCCTAATGCTATAGTACCTGTTTTCCTCCACTTAATTTGGATGCAGGTTTTTGGCTAGTCTTCTTGGGATATACAGGAGGGGGGAGTGACTAACAGAATTTCTTTTATTTTCTAAGCTGACAAAAAGGAGCAAAGAACTGAGATGAATACCCACCTGGCTGTTCTGCCTGCTCTATGGATATAGGTGTTGGCATCCTCTGGACAATCAAACTGAAGGACCCAATTCACAGCTGGAAAATCTGTACAAGAAGAAATGTCAAGTTTTTAAAAATCACTTTTAAAATTGGTCCCTCAACACTATTTTTATTTAATAATGTAACTGCTGATGAGGGCTCTCGGTCACATCATCCAAATGATGGGCATCATCTGCAAACAAGATTAAAAATAAAATAATTCCAAACACTAGCAGATAATTACAGTTCTCCCTTTTGTCGATGTGAACTAAAATTAACATTACCTGCGGTTCCTAAATAATAATAGTGCTTTGAACAGAATATAATTTTACATGACATAAGGAAGATAAACATCATATAGATAATAAAATTCCCTGATATTTAACGATTAAAATGACAGGATGTGATCCGGTTCTCAGAGACAACCCAATGAGTAACAAGATAAGCTTCTGAATTTGCATACAGGCCCACCAGTTAACAATCTACCCTCAGATTTTGCCTCATCTTTCTGCAACTAGGATTAACTAGTACAAAGAGCATATTTCTGGCTGCTGAACTTTCCCCTACTTCTCAAAGGAGACCTATTTGTGACAATGTAAAATAGGCTTCCTTCAACAGTTAAGAGATTTCCTTTAAGACTTTTAGACCAATTTTTATCCCAAGGAAGGACTAACTACAAGGTACTGTACAATGAAGGGCCCTACATACATCAAAATGATCTCTAAACCTTATAATCCATTTCAAAGAGTAAAATGTGATTTTTGAAGAAATGGACAATAAGCGTGTAAAAGAGAAAGAAAGGAGGACATTGGCCAAAAATTAGAAGGAAGTACACTTCAACATTCTGAACTCAGCTCTTCTGTTCTCAGCCACCCAGGAAATAATGACAAAAATTGATTTTTCAAGTCTTTCCTCCTCATATTCAAAAAGCAAACCAAACGAGTATTTTAATTGATTAGGTATTCAGTTCTATCCTAGAAGCTATAGAGACTATGGAAGTATCCTGATCTGAAAACCGACCATTTAGTTCAGGAGACAAAATTAAAATGTATATGAAATAGTAAACAACAATAAAGTACATAACTGAGAAATAAATCGTGTGGCACAGACTTTTACAAGTTGTCCAGCATTTTCTGGGAAAGTTACAATGAATACTCCAAAGAAACATGGGTACATTTTTTTCCTTTAAAAATTATCAAAAGGACAACATTAAAATATGATCAGCGAATCATACTAGATGGAAGGAATCCTAAAGATCATTTAATCTTCCCCTCAACATGAAGCATGAATTCCCTCTAGAACATCTGCAACAAACCTTAGCCTAAAGTTCTCCAGGCATGGAGGGAAATTCCCCCAAAGAGGGCCCTGTTATATTTTTGTACAGCTCAGTTACAAAGTTCTTCTTTCTCAAAATCTGCTTTCCTATAGCTTCATGCTATGGATTCTAGTTCTACACTATAGATCCATATCAACTAACTAACTCCTCTTCCACATAATAGTCCTTTAAATAACTGAAGACAGTGATCAAGTCCCAGTCTAAATCTTCTTTTCAAGCTAAATGACTCAATTCAGGGCAAAGTCAAGCTTGCGGAGTAAAGGCAGGGACCTGTCTGACCTCTCTCTCAAACTTCTCCAAATATCTATAAAAAATGACTCTCAACAAGTCGAGGGCAGCAGAACCCACAAAAAGACAGAGTGAAACAAATTTCTAGCCCAAGACAACCTGGAAGGTCAACAAGAAAGGTTTGTTACCCCAGGCTGAGAAAGAAGCACAGTCTAGTACAGGTCATGCCAGTGCAGACCAGGTCCTAGCAAACCTAGAACAGGCCTCAAGGGACTGAACCACTGGCAACAGTGGCAGTTTCCAGATTTATCAGCCCACAGATGCCAAAGACAACTCAGAAGGTTAGCAGGAAAGGTCTGTTGGGCCTGAGTGAGAGAGGAGGGCATTTCAGCCCAGGCACCGCCAGCACAACCCCAGCCCTTGCAAACCAGGAGCAGGCCTTGGAAATGACTGAATCAGCAGCAACAGCAGCTGCTTCTGGAGCTCTCAGTCCACAGATGGTAAGGAGACTGAACAACAGGTCAGAAGGAGATTACAGGGGCTCTTTCCTAGCACTGAGACAGGAATCTGTTGCTTTGCCCATACTTGGATCTGGGTCCCAGTCCTAGGTGGCAGTCCCAGAGTGAGGAGCACTAGTATAGCAGAGCTTGCAGCAGCAGTGGAGAGAGGACACTCCTCACAGCTCCCGGGCAGAAAAGAGTCCTTGTGATCACTCAGACCAGAGCACAGACCAGAAGAGGAGTAAAACCTCTCCTGAGATCAAACCACCTTGGAAGAAATGAAAACTTACAGGTCCCCAGAAGTACATCTGAAAACAGCTGCACAAAACTCCCAAAGTTTGGGACAGTATGCCCTCCACACTAGAAGCAGAGCCCTTAACAAAGAGTTAAAAAGTCAAGAAATAGCCTGGGAAAATGAGCAAACAACAGAAAAAAAATCTGACTATGGAAACTTACTTTGGTGACAAGGAAGATCAAAACACACACTCAGAAGAAGACAACAAAGTCAAAGCTCCTATATCCAAAGTCTTCAAGAAAAATATGAATTGGTCTCAGGCCATGGAAAAACTCAAAAGGATTTTGAAAATCAAGCAAGAGAAGTAGAGGAAAAACTGGAAAGAGAAATGAGAGTGATGGAAGAAAATAATGAAAAACAAGTCAACAGCTTGCTAAAGGAGACCCAAAAAAATACTGAAGAAAATAACACCTTAAAAAATAGCCTAACCCAAATGGCAAAAGAGGTCCTCCAAAAAGCCAATGAGGAGAAGAATGCCTTAGAAAGAAGAACTGGCCAAATGGAAAAGGAGATCCAAAAGCTCACTAAAGAAAACAACTCCTTAAAAATTAGAACAGAGCAAATGGATGCTAATGACTTTATGAGAAATCAAGAAATTATAAAACAAAACCAAAAGAATGAAAAAATAGAAGACAATGTGAAATATCTCACTGGAAAAACAAGTGACCTGGAAAATAGATCCAGGAGAGATAATTTCAAAATTACTAGACTACCTGAAAGCCATGATCAAAGAAGAGCCTAGACATCATCTTTCAAGAAATTATCAAAAAAAAAATTATCAAAGAAAACTGCCCTGATATTCTAGAAGCAGAGGATAAAAACAGAAATTGAAAGAATTCACTTCCTAAAACAGATCCCAAAATAAAAACTCCCAGGAATATTATAACCAAGTTCCAGAGTTCCCAGGCCAAGAAGAAAATATTGCAAGCAGCTAGAAAGAAATAATTCAAGTATCACAGAGCCACAATCAGGATAACACAAGATTTAGCAGCTTCTACATTAAAGAATCAGAGGGCTTGGAATACGATATTCTGAAGGTCAAAGGAGCTAGGATTACAATCAAAAATCACCTACCCAGCAAAACTGAATATAATCCATGAGGGGAAAAAAACAGAAATTCAATGAGATGGAGGAATTTCATGCATCTCAGAAAAAAGACCAGAGCTAAACAGAAAATTTGACTTTCAAATACAAGACTCAAGAGAAGCATGAAAAGGTAAATAGGAAAGAGAAACCATAAAGGACTTATTAAAGTTAAACTATTTACATGCCTACATGGAAAGATGATATATGTAACTCAAAAGACCTTTCTCATTATTAGGGTAGTTAGAAAGAGTACATATAGACAGAGGGCACAGGTTGAGTTGAATATGAAGGGATGATAATCTAAATAAAAAATTAAAGGGTGAGAGAGGAAAGCACTGGGAGAGAGAGGTTGAATGGGGTAAATTATATCACATAAAAGAGGCAAGAAAAAGTTTTTACATTGAATGGGAAGGAGAGGGGAGATGAGAGAGAGTGAGTGAACCTTACTCTCATCAGAATTGATTCAAAGAAAAAATAACATACACACTCAATTAGGTAAAGAAATCTATCTTACCCTACAGGAAAGTAAGTAAGGGAGGGCAAAACGGGGAGGGGTAGTCAGAAGCAAAACACTTTTGAAGAGGGACAGGGTGAAAGGAGAGAGAATAGAATAAATGGGTGACAGGATAGGATGAGGGAAATATAGTTAGTCTCTCACAACATGATCATTATGAAAGTGTTTTACATGAACACACATGTATAACCTATATCGAATTGCTTGCCTTCTCAATGTGGGGTGGGGGGTGTGGGAAGGGAGAGAATTTGGAACTCAAAGTTTTAAAAATGAATGTTAAAATTGTTTTTACATGTAACTGGGAAAAAATAAAATACTAAACAAAAATAAATAAATAAATAGACCCAATCCTTTTAATCATCACTAATGTGACATGTTTTCAAGTCCCTCACCTCCCCATATCCTTCTCTGCATATACTCCAGTTTATCAATGTCCCTCAAACTACAGGGCCAGAACTATAAAAACATTCCATTTTTACAGATCAAACTTTAGGCAACCCCAACCACCTTACAGAGCAAGGTATAATGACAAATGCATTGGATTTTGAGGGAGAGAACCCTAGATTCAAATGCAAGCACTGGAACTTACAGAAAGTAACTAGGCACGCCACAGTCTTTCTGGGCCTCAGTTTCCTCATCGGTAAAATGAAGAGGTTGGAGCAGATGACCACTAAGCAGATTTCTTACAGTGGGAAATCCTATGTAGAGGCTGCGCTGGGCAGCTACAAAGGGACCTTCCTACTCTCAGATTTGGTGATTAAATGATCTCTATTAAATGATGTCTAGCTCTAATTAGGGTAGTGAGGTGGTACAATGGATAGGATGCCAGGACTGGAGTTGAAAAGACCTGAGTTCAAATCTGGCCTCAGGCACTTATTAGCTGTGTAACCCTGGGCAAGTCACTTAACCTTCTTTGCCTCAGTTTCCTCCTCTGTAAAATGAGCTAGAGAAAGAAACAGTAAATCACTCCGGTATCTTTGCCAAGAAAACCCAAAATGGATTCACAAAGAGTCTGACATGACTGGAAAACAATTAAACAACAGTGCTAACCACCTATTTGAATCTGGATTTGGAACAAGGGCAAGACCTCAGCAACGAATATAGCCTTCTAAGAAAGAAAAACAGTTGTCACAAAATGCATGCAGTAGAGCCCATATGCTTTATTGCAAGAAGAGTATGTAACTCAAAACTTTTCTTTACTTGACATTTAACAGACAACTATCTTGTTAACTGGTTTCTAAATCACAAGAGATTAGAAGGGCTTAGAAGGCAACACACTCATACTGACAACAGAAAGGCTGGGAGAAACAGAAGACAAAAAAACAACTATAAAAAGTAGAGAGGCATGGTAGTACAGAATCATTTAGTATGAACAGTCCTATATACTTCAATAGTGATGCTAACAAAATTTTTGTTGTATAGCCCTGAGTATACTTATGCATTTCTATTACAATACAATAACAGATGCTTGTCATAACTACCCAGAGTCATTTAAAAAAAGGTTAACTGGGGCAGCTAGGTGTCTCAATGGATAGATCACCAGCCCTGGAGTCAGGAGGACCTCAGTTCAACTCTGGCCTCAGACACTTGTCACTTACTAGCTGTGTGACCCTGGGCAAGTCACTTAACCCCATTGCCTAGCAAAAAAAACCCCAAAAGAAAAAAAAAGGTTAACTAAACACTCTATAAACCTTATGGTATTATATAAATGTAAGCTAGTATTTAGAGGCAATGTGGGAGAGTGGAGAGAACCCTGGACTAATAAGATCTCTGCTACAAACTCATTATACGACTTCAGACAAGTCATCTGACCTCTTTCAATCTCAGTTTCTTCATACAATAAGGAAAGTTAATTAAACCAAGCAATGGCAAACTATGGGCTGGATTTGGTGTCCACAGTTTGCTGTAGTTTGCTGATCCCTTGATTAAGCTATTATCAGGTCAATATTAGGATTTAACAATCAGGCTAACACTGCATAGCACTTGAAGAAGTGAAAGACATGTAAAAAAGCACAAAAAACACAGAAGGCACAGATCTTATTTACTCATGTTCTGTCTCCTGTAAAATCAGAGGACAGAAAAGTCATTCCAGTTTAGTTCCCTGCTCATTTGAATTCTGGCTAGCTCTTTATAAGTAAGCAACTGTCATTTACTATGATCACATATCCCTTTCCAAACAGAAGGTTACCTACCTAGCCCCCTTGCTGCAATGTCAGTAGCAAAGAGCACTGCCGATTTCTTTCGGACAAATTCATTATAGACTTCCATTCTTCTTATCTGCTGCTGTTTGCCATGGAGAGCAAGGATAGAAATACCTGGTCGTAGCCTGCAGAAGACTCGGAACAGATACTGAACCTATGAATGGATGAAAGAGTATTTAATGAGGAATTACAGTTTGGAACTTTACTTGACCCTGAGTATCACCAATTTCACTATCACTAAAACTTCAAACTCACCAACCTAAACAGAAATCAATACAAAAATAACAACAGAAATAAAGTAAAGGCCTCCACCCATTTCATCTGAATGCTCCAGTGTATAAGCATGGTAAAAACCAAGAAAGAAAACTTTGAAGACTTTCCCAGAGACCATCTCCTAAAAAATATGCCAAAAGAAAAACAGAAAAGGTTAGAAACTGAATCAGGTTCTAAAAACCTAAATGTATTTATATGTTAAAACTCTATGAGGTGGTACTACTGGAACCCTAAATAGGAGACCTGGAAATAGCAGACCTTTCTTCTTGGGAATTTCAAGTTCTGTGCCTACCACCTCACAAGTACGAAACATCATGAGGAGAGCTAGATGGTCTCTACTGTTCAGAAGAAAAGTGCCTCACTATAGGTCACAGAGTAGGAACAAGCGTGCAATGAATTCTTTCTTTTAGATTAGGATGCCTTACTTAAAATTTAAAGGTAACTGTTAAATATCCAAATTCACAAGAGCATTTGTTAAATGCTTGTATCCAACTCTTCCCCAGAGTCATGTTTTTTTCAAAATGCTACATTAGCCAAAATATACTAAGTACAAATTAACTTGAGGGCATGGGGGTTAGTGGAAAAAAACATGGAGTATTAGGTGACTCAGATAGCAAATAATTATAACTAATATTTTGTGAGAATAAATTTCTTTAAAAGCTTTCACTTTTATTACTTTATTTACAGTATGGTATACTAGAAAGAACAATGACAAATGAAAAGAGCCTGAAGGGTTCCAGTCCCTCCTTTGAAACTTACTAATCATGTGACCTCAAACAAGTTATTTTTCTTCTCTATGCTGTAAAACAAAGGGGCTGTATTAGGTAGTTACAAGAGTTCTTCCAGATGGACAACTACCACCCCTAGTTTCCTAAAGAGGAAGCTGAGACAAAAATCCCCACAACTGTCCCCACTAAATGAAATGCTGGAACAGCTTTGGTTCTTCAAATATAGAAAGAACACAACAAAGACCGACTTAGAAGGGGAAAAAAAAAAGGAGAAAGAATACCTCTTTACAACTGGCAAAGAATACAATACTCTTCTTTTTCAGATGGCTCCTCAGGAAGGAATAAAGCACACTGATTTTTTGGTGCAGCTCACAAATGATATAGTTCTGGTCCAAAGTGGCTGGAGTACTGATAGAATTAAGGAGAAAAATTCAATTAACAGCTCCCATAGGATAAATATAAAAATCTAGACCTAAGGAACAATTTTTATTCCATTGCAATGGTTCTTTAGTATCTTAAAACAAATCCTAAAAGAAGTAAGTTCCATTGTTCCTCACCCCAGGTTTCTAGAAAAATTAGTTCTCACCTAAGTAGTACTATGTTCAGAAAACACCTAGAATGACTCTTTCTTCTAGGGAAGGGGAAAAACTCTTTAAAGCCTAAATTTTAAATACAAATAAAATGGATTGATAAAAATCAAACTCTGTTCTCAATTCAAAAGTAATATTCAAAACCCCTTTCACCCCAAAACTATTATGTTTTTCAAGAAATCACTGATAGGACTATTTGTACTTAAAACAGTATGAAAGGAAGCCTGCTGATGCATTCTTTCACTATGTGCTCTCTGATGTACGCAATAGCTTCAAAAGGTTCTAAATTACTGTCTTAAATTACTTTATAAAAATAGAATGAACAGAAAATGACTGTCTACAATGCTTCCCTTAAAAGGTTCTTAAATACAAATTTTGTATACTGTGTTAACCAAGTTGTTCATAACAAATTCTTTAAAGAAAAAAAATTTAGTATTGACATTAAGCATATTCCGCACAGCATCTATTTATTCAAGCTGCCACCAGTGAGTAGATTTAAAATCATAGTGTACTAAAAGTCATTATTGCAACCAGCAGCTCTGTAAGCTATCTTACAGAAGATTCTGCCTGGTAAAGCTCTCTTGGAAAGCCACGTAAGTAATGAAACACCATGTGTGCTCCAGTGTCATTTCCGGAATACTTTACACATTTATTATTCTTTTTCACCTTCAGGTACAATACTGCTTGTACCCAACTCTTCATTATTAGGGTGACAAGGGACAAGGTCAGACAAACAAATAAAATTCAACAATAATACCAAAATCTTCCATGTTTCAACCATCTTCCAAACTAAAGTTTTTTGAGAACTTCCAATAATCAATCAATCCACAAGCATTTATTAAGCATATATGTTAGCACTCTGGATATAAAGACAAGTAGCAAGAAGGACTGATTACAGTCTCCCCTTTTCTCCTCTCTTTAACTACCATCTGGTAGAAACACAAATGAGTTTTTAAGAGGCCAAAGAGGAAGCAACAAGAAGGAAAAAGAGAAGTAAAGAGTACAGATGACCACTCACAAAAATTAAGTTAATTAACCTGAGAATTCCAAAGGCTCTTTCCTAACACAGCATCACAAAACATACTGTGGGTTAAGCAGTTAAGGCAGGGGGAGACCTCAGACATTGAAAGATTAGGGAGGGGAAGATACCCCAGGGCATCTGGAGCTGGGGAAGACAAAGACCCTAGGACACCAAGAGGCTGCTTCTGAGTAAGCTGCCAACATGGCAAGGAATAGGGTGGGAGGAAGCCAAAGAATCTGGGAAATGGCCCTTTGGATTTTAACTAATTATTCCTGCTTAACTAGATGCTAAGTTCCATGGGTTCTATTGAAAATAATGCTATCTACAACACTGCCAGCATGCTCTAAACTGCTTACTAAATTTTAGTAACATGAGGCAAAGTCTCAGTAACCTTGTCCTAAATTTGTTTCTGTTTACAAAAAAGGGACAAAGTCTGTTCGCTAATTAATTGAAAAGAAATTTTTCTGATTATCTACTAAAGAAGAGTATGAACCAAATTTATCTTGCAGCCTCAGGTACCAGCCCAGTCTTTTCTGAAGCAATTTGCAAATCCCAGGGTTCAACACAGAAAAGTCAAGCTGGACCTACAGGCAATAGAAGTACATGAATATTCCTAAGATGAATTACTCATTTCTAAGTTCAGGCCTTTAGAGGCCTGATCATTGAAAACATTTTCAATCAGCACCTAGCAGTTTACTGAAGGGTAGGCAAGAGACCTAAAAGAGTAATGTCGGGAGAAGAAAAGGCAACAGTGCACTCCTTGGGTTCTCTAAGTGTCTACATGAACCCAAAAACCATAGATATGAACTAAAACAGAAGAACCATATGGAACAAATGAAAAAGTTCCTCCAGGTCAGAATCCTCATGGCCAGGATGCTCTGTGGGGTGCTCAGGGCATAGTCTTAAGACAGTGATTCTCGAAAGTCTTATAGTCATGTACCACCACCTTCAGCAAAATTTCCAGAATTCTAGAAGCTACAGATTTTAAACGACGTTTTAAAATGTTTATTATTAATAGTAACAAATAACACAAAGTACATGTTAAGAATATACAAACATTTTCAGATCAACTTTATTCCAAATTTAAAGAAAATCACAAACAACTTCAACAACTGGGGTGTGAGTGCCATCAAACAGATGTTTTATATAAAGATCAGATTATTAGCTGCATTTTTAACTATCTAATATCTATCTTATAAAAATATATTATAAAAAATCTGAACCCTCTCAAAATGGGTGTTACTTTCTAGTGTATATTCTTTTTTTTCCCCTTTCAGAAAGATCTAATTTTAGAGCAGGAGCTTATATTCAAGAGGACCTTATTTTCTTAACCAATACAATAATTGGTAACAACATTAATTCATCCATTATTTCAACAAATATTTATTAAAATCCAATTATGTTGCACATAATGTAGAAAAAATTAAACAGCCTATCACCAAGAAGCTTACTTTGGTGGAAGGATATGATAGGTCATTTTGTAAAATACTTCACAATATCATTCCCACTGTTTGGGGAAATTATTTCAGCTTGTCATAGTTTCACTTTAAAATTTTCAAAGTTGGCTCTGATTCTTATAATGTAGCCACTGCTCAGATTCTTAAAATCTAGCCAATAGCTCACTAACATTCAGACTCCTTAAGAGTCTGCCCAATAGGAAAGATGTTCCAATACACCTTGTCTTTGGCTGAAAGAAATCTTGGGTCGAATTCTTTCAGGCAGGACCTGCATGTTCTGTTTTGGAGTCCCAGCACCCCTAAACCCCTAAACCTCAACATTTTGGTGACCCATAAGGGGAAACTGCCTAACCCCAAGTTCTTCTCCAGACAAGACTGGAAGGTATGTAAGCCTCCCCCCTCCCTTCTTGCTCCGCAGTTGGGGGTCACTCTCCAAGCACCGAGGCTTGGAGGTGCTTTTCAGGCAGACACTTTCAAGGCTGTCTCGCACTCAGCCTGATACTCTCAGGCTCTCAGTCCAATGGTTCGGTTTGAGGCCAAGAACCTGGGTACACCTTCCACAGCATAGAGGACAAGGATGGACACCCTATCTGGAAGTGTATGCCCAATTCCGTCAATTCTCTCAGTGTGAGGGAATTGGGGAAAACTGCAGGTATTTTTTGGTTCCCTGAGGCTTACTTACTCCCTTCCCTCTACACCCCAGAATCCTCCTTCATGGAGGTTATAGGGAAAAGTTAGAACAGCTAAAAATATCTTGGCAGATTCTGGAGGTTTTGTGATTGATCATTAAGGAGTTTTGAAACTCCTCCTTACAACCCTGGTCACTCCTTTCTCCCACTCCCTTCCCTTGAGTCAAAAGGGTATGTTAACCCCTCTCATAGGAGAAGGGAGTTTCACCCATTCCCCCTCAGTGTTGATTTTGCTCTCCCCCACCTGGGAAAGGAAAGAGGGTGGAAGGGCAGCAGCTACAGTGTGGGCCCCCCTAGCAATGGCTTTGGGTCCTAGGGCAACCTTTGCCTAGAAGCATCACCCAGGTTCAGCACATCCTGCTCAAGGTAAAGAAGCTGACCTCTGAACTTGGGTAAATATGCTCTTTTAAATTTGTAGTTTTAACTTTTAATGATGAGATGTTGATTCTCTGTGTAAAGTAATTTGGAAATGAATTTAACAAAACTGAAGTCACCTGATTGGTAATGGGTTTGTTTCAAGTTTCAAATTGGTGTATCAGTTATGTCAAGCAACTTTTCATAATTTGGTTACCACTAAAATAATTTGGCTATTGTTGGTTATTGTTTTAATGTGTAAACTTGCCAAAAAGTTTGTTTGGGTTACACCTTGCTGAGAATTTGCAAGTGTATAGAAATCTCTAATAACTGGCTTTTTACACCAGGACAAATTTAAGTTTGAGATGTAAATCCTGGAAAAGTTTTTCCTAAATTGTGATTAGTGAAACTTGCTGTTTGAGGTAAAAGCTCACAGGATTTTGTTTTGAGTTGTCTGATGGATCATAATCCATCGATAATCAAAAATCCACCATCTGAAAGAAATGCCACAAGCTACTCAGAGAATGTGATACTGATGGGAAGTCAGCATTGGGAAAAGCTGAGAGAACAATTTTAGCCTCAGTCTAAGATGGGATCCTCCTGGCTCAGTTTCCCCATTATGTTCCTTTGAAAAGGAATGTTATCCACCTGGCTATTTCTAAGCCTGGCTATGAGGTGGATTTGATACTGCATGGTTGGAAAACTGAATTATCTGAATCTAAATAGAGCTAAAGATGTTTTATCCTCTCATATTTGGGCCCCAAATCTAGTCCCTGCTTTAAATCTGGGCCCTGCAGTCTTTTCTGTCAGATTTGTGTCTTCCAGACTACAGGCCATTCACCTACAGTTGGTAGCAAACAGCGGGTACCAGCCAATGTCCCCCCCATTGTTCCCTGGATGCAGCCAGTACAAACTGTTCCAGTCAACCTCCTCTTTGGGACCCCCTCGAGGCAGCAACAGCTGTAGATACTCAAGTGATGAGTATAAAAATTATATTTCATAGTTTGGGCCAGGAGGTTACAAATAGGAGCCCTGTCGAGATTCCTGGGCCTCATAATCAAGCTGGAGCTGACTCCAAGGACAACAGAGAAGAAAGTGGCAAGAAATGAAAAGTGGATTTAACAACATGAATATAATATTGTCATCAAAGGACTCTTAAAGTATATCTAAATTCACAAAGAGACTGTGGTAAAATGAGAGCTAACAAAGAAAAACTTGCATAAATCAATATAAGGCTAGATCATCATAGAACCGCAAAAGGGTTTGCTTTGAGTGTTCCATTAGAAACCAGGTAGTATACTGAAACAAGTGCTGGCGGTATGTCATCTGACCTGGTGCTCCCCAAGCTTCTGTTTTTGATTTCCTGCTCTTCTCATTACACTCTCTCCCATGATCATTCCATTCATTCTTAGAACTTCAACTCTCATCTCTACACAGATGAGTCATAAATCTATAACCCTAGCCCTGATCTATTTCTATCTAAATGGCACCCAGAATTAAATAATTCCAAAACCATACTTATCATCTTTTTTACTATTATATTTTCAGCAATGTTTATCCTCATGATTTCTTTCCTATTTTTTCCCCAATGGTACAACCTTTTACCCAAACACTCAACTTTCACTGTTGCCTTTTTCCTTGTCCTCAGATCTATTTCTTAGATCCTGTCAACTCCTGTCTCAATACTTTTCCCATGCATCTCTTTATCTTTATTCCCAATGCCACCCCTCTAGTACAATTATCACTCACCTGGACTATAACCTCCTAAACATCCCCCTATTCAATATTCTCCTCTCCTTTCCAATCGATCCTCCACAGAACTGACAGATTTGATTTATATAAGAAAAGTAAATGATGTCATTCCTCTACTAAAAGTCTTTTAATAGTCCCGACCTATCAAATAAAATTCTAGCTCCTTGGTCTGGCATCCAAGGCCCTCCACAATCTCGTAGTGAGGATACTTATCATAGACAAGAGATAATAATTATCTTGGGCTTACACTCATAGGATTTATGGATGCTGGATGTTCACTGGAAAAGATGTCAAGAGAGTACGCTCTGTTCAGCACAGAGAATAGAACTAAAAGTAATAGTAAGAGGTTGCAGAGGTGCACGTTTAGGTGTGGTGTCATGAAAAGCTTCCTAAAAATAAGAGACGTCCAAAAGTAGAATGGATTATCTCAAGAGGTATTAATTCTCCCATCACTGGAGGCCTTCATGCAAAGGCTGAATGACCACTCAATAAGGATGCTGTAAAGTACACTGTTGTTCACAGAAGGTTTGGACTAGATGGCTTCTGAGTTCTCTTATACCTATAAGACTCTCTGATATTCTTCCATATAGGTTAGATCCCAAGCAAACTACTCGATGTCCCCAGCACAACCTGTATTACTTACTCTATTCCACTTCAATGCTCTGCTCACATTGTTCCCCCAAAAACGGAAAGCCCCAAGCTTTGCTTCTTAAAATCCTACTTACAGAGTCAACATAAAGGCTATGTCTACGAAGCCTTTATTGGTCTCTCCCTTCCATTCCAATCAGTAATAATCCTTCTCTACTCAGATAACACATTAACATTTGGTTTATACCACTTTTGTGCACTTGCATTGCAGCGGATTTATATGTCATATTTCTTCCTACACCATAGGAACTCCATGAAGGCAGAGACCATGTCTCATTTAAATGTCATATATTCCCAAGTATCTAACACAGTAAGGTACTTAATAATTTCTTAAAATTAAAGGTGAGTACCAGGTTCTTTCATTCACTAGCTGTGTTATCTTGGGCAAGTCAGTGAATCTCTATGACCAAAACTTTTCTCATTAGTAAAATGGTAATGTCTGTACTACCTATTCCACAAGATTGAGAATGAAAACATCCACACAGAATTTTAAAGCACTATATAAAAATGTGAGCTAATCACTATTAGCAAATTCATGGCTAAATTTAATAAATGTTAAAAAACTAACAGGAAAGAAGATCAAAGAAATTAACCTGAAAGAACCATATTCTGTTCTAAAATTCATTGCTATAGACTCAAAGTTGATAAAAGAACAAAAAAAACACCATCAAAAGAAGCTCAGAAAAAAAAAAAAGAACCTCAGACTTTAATTTAGAAGCAACTAAAAAAATTTTTTTAAAACCTGTTTTTCCCTTTTGTTGTTGTTCAGTCATTTCAGTCATGTCCAACTCTTCATGATCCCATTTGGGGTTTTATTGGCAAAGATATTGGAGTGGTTTGCCATTTACTTCTGCAAGTCATTTTACAGATGAGGTAACTGAGGCAAACAGGGTTAAATGACTTGCCCGGGGTCACACAGCTAGTAAGTGTCTGAGGTCAAATCTGAACTCACAAAGAGCAGTTTTCCTGATGCCAGTCCTGGCACTCTATCCACTGTGCCTTCTAGCTGCCCTGTTTTTCCCTTAAACAGTACAAATATATTCTGTACTAAGTGGTGAATGGCCCAAAGCACTATGATTCTAGAATAAGAAGCATTCCTCCAAGTCCAATTTCTAGATCAAGAAAAATGAAATGAAAAGGTTCCTCAACCACTATAGAACACATTAGGTCTCACAGATGATGCTATCAGACTGCTCGACTTTTCAGTTTTTCCTGGAATCGAAAATCTGCCTTTAAAAAAAATTATTCTTTATTTGTCTTCTGATGCCCTAATAAGGACGTAATAAGGTACAGTACAAAGAAAGCTGAATTTGGAATCTGAAGAGAGGGATTAAAATTGCTCCTATATGACTTTGTCCAAGTCACTTAACCTATCTGGGCCTCAGTTTTCTCATCTGCAAAATAAGAGTTGTATCTCAGCACCTAACACATAGCATGGACTTAATAAATGCTTTTTCAAAAATTCATTCATTCACCTATTCCAGCACTAACTCTATGATCCAACTATCTTTTTACCACATATCCACAGAACTTCTACTCCCCTAAAGTATGAGCACAAACATAACCCAAATCCAGATTTCTAATTTGGGGAGTGAAGTTTTTCCTACCTTCATACACACACTTGTGTGTTCACATGGAGAACATGAAGAATTCTATTCAAAGATGCCTTATGAGAAAAGATGCTACTTAAATAACTCTTCATGCAGCTTTATATTGAATGGTTTTCCCTAAACCTGGATGATTTTTATTACTATACTAGACCTTGCCCTTCTAACAAAAATAAGAAAAACAAAACCAGAAAAACTGTATTTCCAAAGATAAGGAAGAGAAGATGGGGACTGGCTCTGTGCAAGGAACTCCTAGGTGAAGAAACTTCTATCAACAAAGGCTGACACTTCTCTGTACCTTATAACCAAAGAATTGCTTAAAGCATGGACAGGTTAATAGGCAGTTGTGTCAGAAGCAGAACTTGCCACAGTGATACTCTGAGAAAACAATCTTAAGAGAGATTATAAAACTACCTAGTTGAGAGAAAAATATATGGACCCTGAGTCAATCACATTATAGACTTAATAGAAATTACTTACCTATATTTTGCCTTTTCGTGGACCCAAACATATTCAGGGTCCTTCAAGCTCAGACGTGCAAGGTCCTTCACAGACTTAGTCTGTGTCGCTGAGAAAAGCAAAGTCTGACGTTTTTTGGGAAGGTTTTCTATAATAGCATTCATTGTGTCAGCAAAGCCCATGTCCAGGATTCGGTCAGCTTCATCAAGTACTAAAAGGATAAAATGAAAGATATCACCCAAGCAGAAAAGGAACACAAAATTTCTAATTTGACTTTTTGAAATTTTTTAATTACCTGATTAATTTCTTGTATTATTTTGGTCAGAATCTACAAATAAATGGGTTCATTTCACATAACTAAAACCAAGTATACTGTTCAAGATGGAAGTCCTAATGACTCTGAGTTTTGTACACATTAAAGTTTTATTTTAATTCAACAAACATAAACATCTCTACCCTTACAAATCTATAAAGATTTGCAGAATCTAGTTCCTTAGACTCACCCAACATTTGGAGATTGGTTGCACGAAAATATGTTGTCTCATCCATGTGTTGAAGCAGCCGTCCCGGTGTGCAAATAAGTATATTTATTTGGTTGATCCTCTCAGATTCATGTTTCAGATCCTGAAAATAGTTATTTCTTTAAGTTACACATATAATTCACTCCAAGGTGTCTTGTGTTCCATGACTACAACAGCAGCTAACAAATGGCATTTGATCATCACAATCTGGATGCTGTAAAAACAAACACATAATTTCTCCTCTCTTTTCTTTCTGTACCATTCCAGAATTAAATAAACAGAACCAGGAAGACAAACTATATGATAACAATTACTTGTAAAGACAAAAAACTTAAGAACTCTGATCAAAGCAGTGATCAACCATGATTCTAGGGAACAGAGAAGTGACAGACTCAAGACACAGAAAGAGACGTATTATTAGACATGATAAATATGAGAATTAGCTCTGCTTGACTATGTATATTTATAACAAGGATTTTGCTTTTGGTTGTTTGTTGGTTTTGGGGTTTTTTGGGTTTTTTTTGCAATGGCGGTGGGAGGGAAATAAACAAATGCTTATTAACTGGAAAAAAAATCTTATTCTATTTCTGCAGTATTCTCACATGCCTTGTTTGAATAAGCACTAAGCCTCTTAATGGATACCTAGAGTAGTGATGTCAAACTCTAACAGAAATAGATCTCTATGGGCAGCATATTAACTTATAAAACCACAACTTAATATTATCTATGTTGTCTTATATTTTTATTTATTTTGTTAATCATTTCCCAATTACATTTTAATCTGCTTCAGGCTACACTGCATTGTACTCCAAAGTTTCGCAGACAGCTTGAATTTGACACCTCTGACCTAGGGAATACAAGATCTAGCTGTGGTTTTAACTAGATCCAAATTTTAGAAGATCAAGCAGATGTTCAAAGTCTTGCCCCCCTGTTGTGTCTGTTGGAAGAGGCTAAAAACATGAATTACAACTACTCTCCTGGTGACCATTGAGGGAGTTCTTAACCATCACTACACTTGTGTGAACTTTTTGTGAACACTTTTGTGAAAAGGAGATTTGGAGTTTCAAACCTTAGAAATTATGCCCCTTCCAAAGCATAAGTCACTTTCAATGTGTGATTCTTTTTTTTTTTTTAAAGACAATTGGGGTTAAGTGACTTGCCCAGGGTCACACAGCTAGTAAGTGTCAAGTGTTTGGTCTGATGCTGCATTTGAACTCAGGTCCTCTTGACTTCAGGACTGCTGCTCTATCCACTGCACCACCTAGCTGCCCCTATCAATGTTTGATTGTGATGAGGAGAAAAAGAACAACAATTTCTAAATGAGTGCCTTTATATGTCTTTTGCATATACACAACCCACAAAAATAAAAGACTATACCACACACTTACTTATTACAGAGCATAAGTAAATTCACAACAAGCACACACAAAAAAACCTAGTAAAGTGAACAGGCACTAGAGGAGAAAACCAAAAATTCTGCAAATCTCTTCACTTCCTTAAATTTGAGCAATAAACAAATTCTCTTCCCTTGGACTTTTTTTGTTTCACACATTAGCTTTGTGACACCGTCCAAAAAAAAAAAGTTTCCTTTTGCATTTCCCAACAGATTTTTGAAATATTCAAGAAAAGGTGGCTAGAATAGTAATGACATTATTATACTAATACTGTACTTCCCTTCATGTATGAAGATGACAATAATGACCCACCATTTAATGAAGTACATGTTTAGAATAATTTTCCAGCAACAAGAATGAATCTGCATTTTTGCCAGGTTCCCCATATTCCCAGCGGCACACATTTCTGAGACTCCTATCATCTCTAACCATGGAAAAGAGCAAAGCTAACTGGCCCGCCTGAGGATCAAATTCATGATTGTGACCTCATTAGCACATACTATAGCCAACTAAGCTAACTAGTCAGAAGATCAATATGTGAAAAATATATAAGGACCAAGACCTACAACTTAAGCACATTTACAAAAGCCTCATTAATTCTCATTTTATTGATCTTTTTCTGTCCCTGCCCCCTAAAATTCTAATTAGCACATAATCAAGCTATCCTCACATATAGGGGAAATAAATAAGGGGCAAGAAGTATAAAAAGACAGACCTTTCCACCAATGATGAGACCAGCTGAAAAGTCATGGTTCTTGCCTACTTTTCGCAACACCTCAAAGGTCTGATATGCCAACTCTCTGGTAGGTGATATTATCAAAACACCGAGGCCATCTGTTGATGTCCACTGTAGACGATATAATGTCTCCAGAACCTAAAAGCAACCAGTAAACTTAAATTTTAAAGTAAGGAAAATTTCAACAAATAGGAAAAAATATGTACATCAACACTAAATGTCCCAAAATACACCACAATATGACTTACACAAGAGGTATAACATGCAGCTGGCAATACTACTCAATGTGGCTTAACCAGATCAAATGTAATTAGAAAATATTTAACAAAACAAATAAACCACAATAAAACACCGATAACATTACATTTGAAAACTAAGTCCATATGTAGCCCACAGGGATCCTTATGTACAGATTGGTAATCCCTGTTTTGATTAACTATATTTCACGATAAATTACAAATACATATTACTTAAATATAAAAAGTTACAACATAAAAATGGGGAAATTTTCACAACCACAAGGGGAAAATCCCAACAAAAGAGGTGATTACAAAAGGGAAAAAAGGTCATTTCAATTATATAAAATTTAAAAGGTCTTGAACAAAACCAATACTGTTAGAATACAAAAAAAAACTGTCATACAGGAAGTCATCACATCTAATATCTTTGACAAAAGCCTGATATCAGATATGCAGAAAATTGACACAAATATATTAATAATAAGAGTCATAGCTCAACAGATAAATGGTCATGGAGAGAAAAAGAAATTTATGAGAAAAAAATGCAAACTTCCAACAACCATGTAAAAGTATTCCAATAATATAATAAACAATAAATAACAATAAAATAAATAGAACAACAATAAAAGAAAATGTAAATCAAGAATATTCCTCTTCACCTCACACCCAGAAAAGAGACAAAGTTGACAGAAGTTGGAAAAAGTCATGTTAAAGAGGTTGTGGTAAAATAGGAAAACTACTACAAGAGCTGGTTGAGGTATGAAAACTGGTCAAACAGTTCTAAAAATGCAATAGGAATTATGTTAGAAAAGTGTAACTCAACTATTAATACTTTATGACCTAGAAATAATAATAATTTTTCTTCTTCCTCTTCTTCTTCTTCTTCTTCTACTTCTACTACTACTACTACTACTACTCTACCACGCATTTAAAATGAAGGAAAAAGGTTCAAATATTCATAGAAGTACCTTTTCGTGTTAAGAAAACCTAGAAACAAAATGATCTTTAAAAGGGTAATGAATGAACAAACTATGGCATACAACATGGAATAAAGGGTTATTACAATCAAGAATATGAGTAATTCCATTGGAAGATATATAAATTGATGAAGAACAAAGTAAGCACAATCTGGTAACACGTAGCTGGTTGCACAGTGAACAGAGTGCTGGACCTGGAGTCAGGAAGACATGAGCTCAAATCTTGCTTCAGAAACTTACTAGATACAGGTTTCTGAGAAAGTCATTTAATCTCTTTCTGCCTCAGTTCCCTCATCTGTAAAACAGGGATAACAATAGGACCTTCACAATTACAAATAAAAGAAGCTCCCAGGGTTGTTTTTAGGACAAAATTAGAGATTTGTAAATTGTTTAAAGTCCTACATAAATGCTAGCTATTATTATTATACATGCTGACTGCAATACCAGCCCCCCACAAAAAAAAAACACTAAAAAGCCACTGAACTCATTATTTTCAAAGAACAATGTGGAATCCAGAAAACAGATGATAAAACACACTTCACTTTCTTCACTTAAAGAAGAGTGCAGACCACAGGTGAGGAACTTTGCTAAGTCTACATATCTAGGCTTTAATTTGGTCCCTCTTCTCTTTTCTATTATATTTCTCGGGAATTTCATCACCTTCCACAAGTTAAATTATGATCTCTATTCACATGATTCCTAGACCTATATATCCAGCCCTAAATATGAGCTCCTGATCTTCAGTCCTGCACCAACTACCTATTGGTCAAATTAAAATTTCAAAAAGTAAACTAAAAAGGTTGATGCTTTGCTCACCAATGAACAAAAGATGAAAAGCATTTAAAAAAAAAACACATTTCATTTGACTCAATTTCTAATGAGATCTCAGCTCAAATATTGCCTCAGCCTAATATAAAGAGAAATTCTAAAGAGAATCTCAAAACAAGACACGGAAAAAGTCTCAATGAGAATTTAGGGTTGGAGAATTAATCTCTGAAGCAACTTTAAAGAATCATGTCAATTTTTACTTCTACAAAAACGAAATCTGAATTTTTCTCCCCTATGAAAAATCAACTTGATCACAAGACCATCAATTTAGAACAAAAGGGAACATAGAAGCCATTGAATCCAATCCCTTCATTGTACAAATGAGGGAAATGAGGCAGGAAGAGAGTAAATGAATTCTCCAGGGTCAGAGATAGTCAGTGTCTGAGGTAGGATTTGAACTCGGGTCTTCCTGACTTCCAAGCCCAAAACTCTATCTATTATGCCACAAGAATCACTATACATTGATATTCACTGCAATACATATATAAGAATATGCAGTCTAAGATTTTTTTTTCTTAAAAATACATAGAGCTCTCTGTCTGGCCACAAACTGAGGCAATATAAACAAACGTTCTGAAAGCAAGCTAAAAAACTTAACGGTACTGAAAAACCACCAGTTGGGGGAGAAGAAAATTCAAGAAGCTCACTGGGACCTTTTATTTATATCCTTGGCATCACCTTAGAGGCCATCAAAAAATTTTCGAAAACATTAAAAAATTTTCAAGAAACCTGCCTGTAGTCAACCAAAAGTCATAATTTCCCTCTAAACTATAATGAAGGCCTAATGACATATGCCTCCCAACTTCTTCCAAACTTCCAAATGACTCAAAATGGAAGACAAGGGAAGGGATGAGGAAGGAGGTATATTCCTCAAATAAACATACCACCTCCTAAAGAATTACAAATAAACAGAAGTTCATAGAAATGATTTTTTAAAAAAAGCTCATCAACTGATTCTACCTCACTTGTCAAACAACACACAATTCTGGTCCATAACCCCAGTAATCATAACAAAAAATACTTACAGGGACAAGAAAAGCCAAAGTTTTGCCTGATCCTGTCTTTGCGGCTCCAAGCACATCTTTACCCTGCAAAGCCAGGCCAATGGTCTGCCTCTGTATCTCAGTCACCATCCGATACTGTGCTTCCTGCAACCCTGAAATGTTACAGAAAAAAAGTGTTGACATGGTAAAAATCAAACTGTTACAACTTAGAAAAGCACCAACAGCTTTTCTGGAATAAAATGCTGTTAGATTTTGATTACGCAAAGGCTCCTCCTCCTGGCTTTTTACTCCTTCATTGCCTTTCAGTCCCTGCACAAAAAGGATTCTTCACCTTTTTTGTGTCATGGACTCTCCTGGCAATCTGGTGAAGCCCTTGTCAGAATATTTTTAAATGCATATAATAAAATACTTAAGATTACAAAGAAAGCCAAGGATATACAAATTGTTATCAAAATATTTTTTAAAAAAAACAGTTCACTCACCCCCATATTAAAAACCCCCTGCTCTAGGAGGAATAAAGAGAAGAAAGAATTAAAATTAAGATCAGTTAATTTTAATTTCTCATTGGCAGTTGCTCAAAGTAGAGAGAGTATGATAAAATGTGAAAATTATTGGTAGCAATGAGATTTTAGGATTATATTAATCCCACTGCTCCCTCTGGCCCACGAACAAATGTAATAATAATAATGACAACAACAACAATAACAATAGATAGCTACAGACATACAGATAACATTTACAAACACTTTAAGGTTTGCAAAGTACATTACATGGTAACTCATTCGATCCTCACAACAACCCTGTAAGGAAGGTGTAACTCTTATCTTCATTTTATAGATGAGAAAACTAAGGCACATAGAGGTAAAGTGACTTGTCCAAGGTCACATAGCTAATAAGTATCTGTGGCAAAATTTGAATTCAGATCTTTCTGACTCCAGGTCCAGCAATCTACCCGCTGAACAATCCAGTTAAACATTAAAGAATTCCTTCAATCTGCCCAACCTCCATCAACATACCTACCTTTCAATGTTTTTCTGGACAAGGGGAAATCAGAAAATCGCATAATTTCATTTACATTTATCTAGAAGAAAAAAAAATTTGTATATATCAACATGAAAAAAATTAACATAAAAGAAGAAAAACATTAACATTACCCAGTCCTCTCTACTCCCACCCCCTACCATCACCACCACCCCCTACCATCACCACCAAGGACTTCAAAATTGATGCTGGTGAACCTTCTAGCATCCTAACCTCAAAGGTTCCCCACTTCAACAACCACCCACTTTGACCCACTTCACCCATACCCCAACATGGTCACATGGTCATTTCACAGGACTTGTATATTTGCTATGATTCTGAACTCTTAAGTCTTCCTTTCTGACCACAATCTCTAAATCTTATCTACCGTTCCCATTCCTTCAATGCTATAAAACCTACAGTTGGAGCTCAACTTTCTTTATTCTCTCAGTCTCTCCCTCACTCTTGCATTTTTTCTCCCTCCCCTTTCCTTTGCCTCCATCGCCAGCTCATAACCACAGCTACAGTCTCAAAGCCCCATTCTTGAAATCCTTTAAGTCCACCTCCTTGATTCTCTGCTCTGTCTCCAGGCCACAGAGTACTGCTAGAGAAACACACAAACTCCAGCTGATTTCATTCACTCTAAATGTAGGCTGAATAACCTCAGCAGGGCCCTTGCTGCTGTTCACAATCCCAATAAACTGCTGGCACTCAATAAAGAACTAGTCAGGAACCATCAAATAAACTTCCCAAATAATGTACCTTGCCTATGACTCCTGTAAGACAAACGTGAGGTCCTAGTGGCAAAGTGCATGGAATGGGACTGCAGACAAAATGCAGTGGCCTAATGCAAATAGCAAGGAGTTTGAGAACCTGGACTCAAATCCTGACTCTGCTTCTTCCTGTGTGACCTAGGAAGATCTCTCTCCGGGCCTTCCTCATTTCTAAAATGACAGAGCTGGACTAAATGGTGCCTAGGACATCTTACAGCTCTAAATCCTATGATCTTACAAGTAGCCAGGTATTCACTTTTAAACTCAAAGCCCTTCTACTTTCCCCAACTTCACTGCCTACTAACACTAACAAGGGTCTACAAAGTCAAAGATACAATAGGGAACTTCTGATGTGGTCAAAAGGACCTTAGTATATGCTTATCTCACCTCTACTCCTGTGGTCCCTCCTACTCCTTACTACACATACAAGAAGCTGAAGTAGATTTTGCAGGAATGGTGAACGCATTACAGTTATAAAAACCAATTACTCAGTTCCACAAGAGTAAATAGTATTTACTAAGAGTGTGGTACTCCAAATCATCATAGGAAATTATACTAGCAGCTCAGAAGAACTAAAGATAGAAAAAAAAGAAAGATGCAAAGGCCAATCTCAAATGCATTGCTTATAAGAGCTAGAAGGAGCACCAAGAGCTTCTCCAATATCTCTCAAGGGTGTCCCCTTCAAATGGCTCCAGCCTAGTTCAGTCCTTTGTTACCTCTCACCTGGACTGCTGAAATACGATCCTAAATGATCTGCCTACCTCAGTCCCCTCTGGGAAATAATGGGAAAAAAAAAAAAGTAAGTGGTGGGAGTGGGGGAGGAAGGAGGCCCAACAGTACTAGAACTCAAACTATACTACAAAGCAGTAATCATCAAAACTATTTCGTACTTGTTGAAAAAGAGAAAAGTTGATCAATAAACCAGACTAAGCACACAAAACCCAGAAGCAATGGAACTTAGAAGGATAGTGTCTGATAAATCCAAGAACACTAACCAGTGGGGTAAGGACTCACATGATTCAACAAAAACTGCTGGGAAAACTGAAAATCAATTTGGCAGAAATTGGGTTTAGAGCAATATCTCACACCATACACCAAAATAAACTCCAAGTAGAGAGATGATCTAGATATAAAAAAGTCATATTATAGACAAATTAGAGAAGGGAAGGAGATTCCTTTCATAATTATGGATTAAAGAGGAGTTCTTGACCAAACGAGAGATAAAAAGAAAAGTTTTTGCATAAATTCAATCCATTTAGAATTAAAAAAGGAGTTAACTGAGAAAAATCTTACAGTGCCTTTCTCTGATAAAGGTCTGATATTCAAATACATAAAAACAAGAGTCATTTACCAATACCAATAGGTAAGTAATCAAAAGATATATACAGGCAGTTTTCAAAAGAAGTACAAGCTGCCACCAATCATATGAAAAAATGTTTCAAGTCATTAAAAATAAGACAAATGCAAATTAAAACAACTCTGAGGTTCTACCTCATAATCATCAGATTAGTAAAGAAGATAAAAAAGGAATATGGCAATTATGAAAGAGGGCAAGTACTCTAATGCCCTCCTCTTTGTCTTTGGTGAAATTGTGAACTAACTATGCCTAAAAAGTCATTAATTGTGCAACTCTTTTGACCCAGCAATACCACTATTATGAATATGCCTCAAAAATATCAGAGGAAAATGACTCACATGTAACAAAATATTTAAAGTAGCACTTTTCCATTGTAACAAAGAACTGCAAAACAAAGGGTGTGCCCATCAATTGGGGAATGGCCAAACAAATTATGCTAGATGAATATAATGGGATATGATTGTCATGGAATAAATAAAAAGGGGATAGATTCAGAGAAAACTGAGAAGACTTTTATGAATGATGCACAGTGCCATGAGTAGAACCAAAACAATAACTTATTCAATGACTACAATAGGGAAAAGAAAAACAAAACTATAAAAGACTTAAGAACACTGATGCACTGACCAATCACAACTTCAGAAAATTGATGATGCGGCATACTTCCCACTCTTGACAGAAAGGCGATGGACTAGAATTGCAGAAAGAGACATATCCATACATGAGCAACATGAATTTGCTTTGTTTAATATGTTTTTTTGTTATATGTATTTGTTACAAAGAAAGAGTTTTTATTTAGTGGGGGTAGAGTTGTGGAGGGAAGTGAATAGAGAGGGAAAGAGATTCAAGAAAGGAAAAGAAAAAATAATCAGTGTCTTCTTTCATAACATGACTAATGTGGAAATGTGTTTAATATGACTGTACATGTAATCAGATAACTTGCTGTCGTGGGGAGAGGTGAGGAGATGGAGGGAGAGAAAAAATCTGGAACTCAAAATCGTATAAAAGTGAATGCAGAAAGAAAAAAATACATTTTAAAAAAAGTGAAAGAAGAAAAAAAAAGACTCAGTGAAATGTTAAAAAATATACAGAAATGAACAGAATGAAGTACAAAACACCTTATCCAGAAGCAGTGCACCATTGGTACTATCATGTTAAATTCTATAATATATGTACATATACATATATATTAAACAAGCTATTCATAATAAAATTAATTCAAATTTCCTGTTTTCCTTTGTATATGGAATTCTTCGTATTTATTAAGTTCTTAATTTTAAAAAAGAAAAAAATGTAAAATATCCTGGAAAGGTAGGCTGGAGCCAGACTTTAAATAAGGAGTATTTTAACCTACAGGCAACTGGGAGTCACTGAAGATTCTGGAGAAAAAGTAAGACAGTCAGACTTTTGCTCTAGGAGGATTTGTTTGGCAGCTGTATGGAACTTTGCTACACACCCTATAAAGATAGAGCAGAAACCAAGTGCTGACTGGCTAATGCAAGATCTATATTTGAATGCCCAAATCATCTTAAAGCAGAAGATCTCAGTCTGTACTTTTAAACAAAAATCTCCTCTAAAAAAGCAATTAGCACCAAGAATATTTGAAATGTAAACAACACTCACTCATCAAAACAGTCACTGAAAGATGCTCATCCTAAAACTTCTAAAAAGAAACTATGCATAACATAATAAAAAGTCCTGGGTCTCCCCAATATTAACAATTAGTTATTTAATAAACATTTCTCTCATATGCCAAGCCAAAATGTTCTTTAAGTGGAAACCTAAACTCCTACTTAATTCAAGAGTAGCATACATTCGTATATACATAAATACACACCAGTTTCTAGAGTTTTCTCATTTGTAAAATGATGGGGTTAGAATAAATAGCTCTTCCAGCCCTTTCTAGCTCTAAAAAATTCTATGATTCTAAAAAAAATCTTCATTCCATATTCCTTCAGCAGTTCCACATCCAATTTTTAAATATTTTATACTTTTTATATTTATTTGTGTTCCTACATCTGTTCCCATGTGTTCTGTCTCCCCAAAAAGAATAGAAAGCTTTCAAGGACGGTCTTTTTTTCTCTAAATCTCTGTGCCCAAAAGAATTCTTCTCCACTAATTTCTATCTCACCTTCCTCCCACATGTTTCCCATAGATGTGTAAGGTGCTCCAGTGAGTATAATATACCTTTAAAATGCTGGCACAAAGAGAAATCATAACCACACTAGTGATTTATGAATCATTAATTTAAAATAATGTCAATTTACAGAAATGAGAGTGGCATTCATTGCTCAAGGATTTTTCATTTTGCAAACTACGATGAGAAATAATCAATTTATGCTCCCTCAAAAATAAACTGAAATTAGTTGATTAACATATATTTTGTTATTACAAACTGGTTATGGCTTTAAACAAATTTTGCTGGTGATTTACCAAATCTTTTAAGTTCTGTAATTCTAGAGCTGTTTGCTTTTGCATCAACTAATATAGGAGCATTAGCTTGGAAATGTAAAGCAATGACAATAAGCAATATTTCGTTTCCCCTTAAACTTCAGATCCATCAAATATTCATTACTAATGCTTTTCAGTAACATAAACCCAATTTCCTGCATCTATTACAAGTTCTGAGAAGCAGAGCTATTTTAGTGCAGATGCTGAAGGCAAGGGATGCTGCTTAGATCTGGAATGTGCTGTCAAACCATTCATAACTCACAAAGGAGGAAAAAGTTGCATTTGTTGGATTTATTAAATTACACTCCAGGCTTTTCAGGGATGATATGTATTACATTTTTACAACTTTCATGCCATATTCCTCAAGATTCTCAATGTAACCCAGAGTGGATTACTCTTTGCCTTTACATATTATAAGCACAACACACTAGATATTTTGCTAATCCCTACAATTCATTCTAGGGAACAAATGTTGGGGGA